CCCTAGTTTTCTGGAAAACCAATACTTGCAAGGCCTAGCGGCACAAACCAAGGTGAGATTCGGATTCAGGACCATCGATTACCTGTGGTCCACCACCTTTCATATCTAAAGCGATTTATCAGTTGGGGGTCATTCCTCGTGAGCCCTGGACAGATATTTGATTTTTCGAAAATAAGGTTACTTTGTATGTGCATCTCCCGAACAAAATTTTTAATTTGTTGTGAAACAGATGGTGTTGTTATTTCGCTTTTCATTTTTCTCTGTTCATTTGTGTTAAAAGTTGAATAAATCGAACTCGAAATACAAAAACTCAAGTCCAAGTACTTCAGAAAAATCTTCAGTTCGAGTCCGAGTCCGCTAAAAAATCTTCCATTTCGGACTCACCCATGCCTGGTACCGTCCTATTTGGAACCAATTTTTGATTTACAATATAAAGCTGCCTTGATTGTTAGTGGAGTTAGACGTTTTTCCTCTAGGAAAAAGTACTTAAAGTTTTAGGTTGATTCCGAGTGAACATACATATGCAATTAACAAAATTTTGCTTTTTTTTGAAAATTAAAAACGGTCTCACATCTGCATTTCTCCTTGAACAGATCCGTCGGCAACCTTTTATAAATATATGTTTACGCTCCAGAGAGAGAAAACAAGTTCATATGTTTTGAAGGTATACGGAAAATTTCAAAAACACCTTTTTTCCATGGGCTGTCAGACAATGGAATTCGTTACCATTCGATCTACATGATATGACATCTTTAATAAAAATTTCGAACTAAAATTCATAATCTTTTCTCTCCTCATTCCACATGGCCAAGATTCAAGCTCAGCGAGCGTAGATATGATTGTTTACTGAATGAAATACGAGTTCATTTTTCTCCATTAAATTTCCAGCTATTTCCGAAAAAATTGGGTTCTAGTCTGCTCTGTGCTTATGATAAAGTAGAAACCCTCAAGCATTTTATGTTGGAATGCCTATGTTACTAGCCTCAACGTGTTTCTCTGACTGGTCATCTCTGGCTCCTTCTTTCTCCTTTGCATCTACAGGGAGCAAGTAGTCATAGTTAATGTTTGACCAATAATTCTATGAAAACATTAGTTTGAAAATATGTGCTGTAGATCATTTTAAAGCCTGTGTAATTGCGCATGTTTTCATATATAAGATTCTATTAAGAACATCGAACTCGTAGAGAAAAATGAATCGAATAGGCGTTTTTGGATCGATGCTCAAAAATGTTTGCACACAAACTTACTTTTTTTGGAGCAATTTTATACCCTAGATTATTCACAAGCTACCGAATCATGGGTTTTCAAGATGTCGCTTAGATCCAGTTTTATAGAAGACACTTCGGACTACATATGCCCTCAAAAAATCAATAGATTCCTGTTTGAATTTCGAAAAATCTAAGCTAGTTTTCTAAAGATTCTACGGAACACCGGCTTCGAAAATCTGTTGTGCTTGTGAAAGGTAGCCTCAAGTCTTGACTATCGAATTGTGAAAACTGCAATTGGGTTCTAGTCTGCTCTGTGCTTATGATAAAGTAGAAACCCTCAAGCATTTTATGTTGGAATGCCTATGTTACTAGCCTCAACGTGTTTCTCTGACTGGTCATCTCTGGCTCCTTCTTTCTCC